AAGAAATTTCATTTTGGAAGTATTTTTTATGAAACCAGACTAATAAAGTTTTAATCTCCTCTTCGAAAGTTTATACGCTCTCGGCAAAGTTAATATAAAAAAGCAAAGAAGATTACTACCGTATTCCCTAATGGGGTGCTCCAATTGAACTCATACGAACTGGCGTTAAACAAGGTACTATCTCAACAACGTTTCACCAATTTAAAAGTTTAACTATAAATTACTTAAATATATTGTTTCATCTAAAATGACATTTAGAAGTTTAAGTTAAAAAAATTACGTAGGTTTCATCTTTCAACATTTTCTTTGAACAGAATGTTTAAGAAAGCATTAGTCAAACTAAGGTAAATTCCGACAACTTGCACATTATGAATGTGCTTGCTAACTTGCACATACTTCACATTATGAAAACACAAATAAAGAAATCCGAAGCAGCTAGCTTACTTTCTATTATTTTCAATTCCGTTAATGTTTGTTATGAGTTATGGTATTAATATTACTCAATCTCTAAGCTCTCGCTGTATTACATCAAACACGGTTGTAAATCAATAGCTTTATCATTATTTACCCAGTTAATGGAATAATTAGGAGCGTCTTGGTATATCCCTTGTTGTTGAGCGAGGGATAATTGCGGAAGGAACTGAGGCTTCTCATATGCGTTATATAACGAAACCCAAACGGCACCGCCCGAGCCTACTCAACGAAGATTAACTTAGTATTAACTCATAAAATAATAACGCACTTACAAACAGCAATCTCTACCTACTTTATCCGCCATAAAAAAACTCATTTCGCTTACTCAAACCAATTCCGTTGTTTCCTATCCCCAATTCTTTGTCCAAGAATATTGTGAAGACGGAAATTAGATCTTATTCTTCTCATAATAAGCTTAACGCTGAGAAATATTATTAACATATTCAAATTACATCTATACAGAACTCCTGTTTTTAATTATAAACTTAATTTGGTTATGATAAATCTATGGAAATTTTTACCTCCAGAGCCAACCCTCTGCAGCGGTAAGGGTAGAGTAATTACTTCTTTTCTTTGTAATAAAAACGGATTAAACTTTACTTAGGGCGGCCTATTCAGTTTGTTTACTATTCAAAAAGGTCTGTTAAGAGAAAAAAAAACTAATTTACGCTTGCTTATTACAAGTATCTGATTCAACATTTTAATTAAGAATTAAATTAGGAAAGATTAATTAAAAAGTCGTGGCACTTTTAAAGATGGCCTTAAGCATTGCTCATGTAACCATTATAAGTTTCGTATGAAGGTGTAAATGATTGTATTAAGAGAATTTACCAGCGGTCGTCATTCAGAGTATACATAAAAGGATAAGAAGAGAATTGTGAGTTCAATTTCACCGTTTTACGCGAAGCATTGATATCAATTATCAGGAAGCCGACATCCTATGCGCGAGTTGTTTCATAAAGCCGCTAATCCCGGCTCCGGCGAGCCACAATTTGTCCAAACGGTTATGTTATTGCGGCCAGCAAGTTGCGACCGCGACTCACTGTGATTTTTCTAATAAAACTCCCCTTAACGTACAATTCGTGCGTGTTGTGCAAGATTTTATTCTATTGTTTTGGCATTGGAATAGACTCTACATAATTTTGTTGACATCATTATTTTTTATCTGCTTTTTGATATCGACTAGCTTACACGAAATTTGTGAGATAATTCAATACGTTAAGTTAAAATAAATTATTTTATCTGGCTATTTTGATTACTCTTAAAGCTTTCCAGTAACCTTACCAACCATCGGGACAGTGAAATCAACAATAGTCAATGACGTAATAGATTATTTTCTACATAATAAATGATTAACCTTTAGTGGTGCTCCACTTATACGTTTAAATTAAAACCGTAAAGCTCTCAAATTATACAGTACATCCCTTACACTAGCTCGCATTTTGTAACAGGGTAATTAATTTAGTCAACGTACGCCCGTCACCCGCGCTGGTCCGGCAGTATATTGGACGGACTCAATTTGTCCAAACTGTTATTGCACGGGTCGAGCGGCCTTCGCTACCAGTTTCCTACGGAATCACCCATAACAGACAGCTACGCCACCTCTAACTCCCTGGAATGGATACTTGATTAAGATACCGACTCGTGTTACTTTATTTTGAGATTACATCTGACGGGAGCACGAGGTCGCAATTTCTTTTATTGTTAATTTGGAATAAATCCCCTTGATTGTATCACTGTCTGGCAACAGAGCTCGTTTCGAATGAAATAAAAATAGGCGTAAAACTCTTTCGCCGCCTAGTTCCCATTCTGTTTTGATGTGACCCTGTACTTTAAGGGTTAGTTGGGCTAGGTATACTATGTTAGTTTATTAAATGTTTGTTGGACATTTCACCAACTGTTAAGAGAAATGAGTAGTATATAATGCGTTAATTGTTCTTCAATTTTGCAAATCAGTGTTAAAATTAAACATTGTACGGATCCCTTAAATTCGTAAGAAACCTTTCGTTTTCTGTCAAGATGACATGACTTATAATTTTATATTCTAAAGTTTTGTTAGCGTTATTTCATATCGTAATATTGTAAAAAAAATTATAAAAATGGTTTTAGCCGTTTAATAATTTGAATGAACATTTTGATAATCATTTGGTAATGAATATGTTATGACTAAAATATCATAAATACAACTTACGTAAAAAAGTATGTTCAAGTACGTATATTAGTAACCTACTATCCTATTATACTATAGTGCTTTACTCAGTTTGAAAAAATATGTCCGGAAATATGTATTATTATTTCTTATTAAAAATAGAACTTATAATAAAAAAAACTCATGTAAATGGACTATATAACTTATTTGCAGGATTTTAATATCAATCTAGATCACCTGTTCCATTTTCATAAGAGTGGACAACTTAAATTTTACATATCGTTAGAGATTAAAAATATAAAATATTTATTTTTGTCAGTTAATTAACTGACATCTTTAATATATACATTGTAACTGCCTAATATGTCAGCTTTTTTAAAAAAATTACCCATTACATAAAAAGAAAGAAATTTTAATCTATTCATAATAAAAACAGAATAAAACACAAATTGAGTAATCCGAAGTTAAGAAGTACTTCGAGTAAGTCTGGGTAACATACAATTATAGGTAACATAGGCATCTTTATAAGCATTAGCCTGATCTTAAAGGGAAGAAAAGTCTCCAGACGGTAAAAGATTCATAAAGCTGCATTTACACAGCATAGCTTTAGTGACACGTACTCCCCAGCTCCATATACAGACGTAGATTTTTGCAGATTACGAATATGCAATTATTTTATTGTCGTAAGAGACAGCAGGCAGGCTCGCATAGTCAATATTGGACAGCAATAGAAATACCAGCTAACGCTGATGGCTAAAAATCACAACGATCAATCATAAATAGCCTTTAAGTTTTAATTTAATTTCGCAATCGAGTTATGGCGCCCGTAAAATCGGTTTGGACATCGGCATAGAGATGGTACGATTAATCAATACAGGAAATGATGGAGTTTATGAAAACCGAAAACATTAAGTCAGCAAGTATACCACCTTGCGGAGCGCCAGATTCAATACCAACCCATTGAGAAAACTCTTGCCCTACATGGACCGATTGCTGGGCCCCGTGATTATAAGATAAAACCAATTCAAAACTGTGGGCGCAAAATTAAAGTGGGTAAGAATGGCGAGTAGGATATCGTGATCAACTCTATTGAATGCGTCAGAGAAGTCGACAAGCAATACTGAGATTTACTGGGTTTTCATTCCAATTCTGATGTCATCAGGGACTTTAATTAGAGCACTTGTGGTGCTGTGTCCAGAACGAAACCCAGACTGATAAGTACTCAGTAGGTTATTGATATAAATAAACATAAAGCAGCTATTATAAATACAGGCTTTAGAAAGACTTTAGAAACGAAATGTAAAATTGAAATAGGACAGACGTGATTATGAAGTCGTATGCCTTTTTTCAAAGCATTCGGTAGTGACCTGAGTCGAGAGAAAAATTGTTTATATAGGTAACTGCAGGGGCTATCATAGCCCTAGTCACGTTATCACAACCCACACTTTTAGATTTGATTGCCTGGATAGCTTTTTGAATGTCATAATCATCAAGAGGAGAGACGTTGAAAACTGGAATGTGTAAGAATTAAAAATTAAAGCTATACAAGCAATTGTTTGAGTACGGATAGTAGGGTCTAATAGCGGAGTAGAGACTTATTGATATATCTGTGTTTAGCCTTTACTATCTGATTACACCTTTTTGATTAAAATAAAAGTAAAGTAACAGCCTATAAATGTCCCACTGCTTGGCAAAGACATCCTCAGTACAGAGAGTTAAGGGTCTTCGAAAAGTTTTTTCTTTTTTTTTAATGTGAAAAGTTGCCAAACGAGCAGACGGCTCACCTGATGTTAAGTGAATACCGCCGCCCATAGACATCTGCTACACCCGAGGGTTTGCAGATGCGTTGACAACCTTTTTGGAAATTGGGCTCCGGCTACCTCACTCACGAGACGAAACGCGAAAGTATTTGTCATACTTCCACTTTACGCCGGTCTTCTGTGAGATCGTGGTACTTACCCGGACGAGCCTCTCCATTCGTGCAACAGCGGAGGCTGCTGCGTGGCTCTACCACCGTTTTCTATTATTATTTCCAAAATATGCAGGTTTACTTATTATTTTTTCACTGAACCTTTCACAAAAAAACGCGATTTATACAACAAGAGACTATCAATGTTCGCCTGTAGGTCGCTACCTCTGTTCCCGCAACCCGTTAGCGTTCGAATTCGATACGTCCAAAGCAACATCGGGCGCACGGTTATTCGAACTTGGATCGAAGATCGTAAGAGGGATTGAAGGACAAAGACGTCCGGAGGGGGAGAGTAAGGGGGGGCGGCCCACGCACCACGTCCGAGCCGTAATGAGTTGAAAGCGGATACTTGTAGCGCACTCAGAGCGCGCGTGTCCGGTTACCCGCCTAATGTTGCCCGGATAAACAATGACGTCCAGCCTTTTAGCGACATTTGTGAAGCCACTCAACACTAGACATAAGCCTAAAAAGACGCCGCATTTTCGCCGTTCCGCCGGCTCCTTCGGGCTTCCTTGTCGGGGAAATGTGTACGTAATAACGTTGTGGAAATGGCGGTATAATAGAGAGGAGTCGAGATTTGTGTATTTTCCCGTTTGCCCGTCTGTCTATGTGCCGTACGGCGAATGTGGCGGGAGCAATGTTTTCATAAGGAGAATCCGAAAAGGACGTTCTTTTAGAATTTCAAATTATTCATTATAATTTATATGCCTCACAATATTAAATTTAATTATTAACATCAAAATGAATACCATAGCTTGATTGTAAACACTAAATAATTAAAGAAATAGCACAGACAGACTATTCGCCTAGATCCGCTTTTAAATTCATTGTAAACAATCCGGGCTGCAAGCAATCTAACTCCGCAAAGGACAACAATGTACGTGTAGAAGTTAATTGCTATTACATGTTCTTATTTATCGCTCCTTGGTACCTAACAAAAGAAAATGTCATACAGGTATACAAAAATAGCATTAAAATGTATGTATAATCCACGAAGCCTTATGCACAGAGGCTTTTGCATAATCAGGACATGATATATATGTTGTTACCTCATTTTTTTCAATATATAAGGACTATAGTAACATTTTCACATACAGGATCGTACTTCATGGCAGTCTATGGGGGAGGCCTATGTTCAGCAGTGGAGTCAAACAGGCTGAAATGATGGTGATGATGATAGTAACATTTTCACATATTGCACAAAGGTGTTTTTCGGGGTTGGTACGCCAAAATTTCCATAACTCTTCATATAATTTAATGTTTCATGCACTATTTTAAAGCTTATGTTTGCCGCAATTGATTAAAAATGAACTATTATAATAAAGTTTAGGCCTCCATAAAAAAAAACCTTCGTCTAACTTATACAGGATATGATAGTGCCATCTATTGACAAATTGTTTAAATGAAATATAGCAAACTAGACTATTTTTACGATTCCTTACACAAAGGGTAAAACGAGACCCTATTACATAGACTCCGCTGTCTGTCTGTCCGTCTATGTTCATAGATATAGGTTGTATATGATGAACCGTGATAGTTAGACATTTGAAATTTTCACAGATGTATTTCTGTTGCCACTAAAATAAATAGTTTGCCGTTTTTATAGTCTTGCATTTTACTGCGTCAGATGAAGATTTAATAGTCTCGGGATTGAAAGCAAAAACATCAGTTAACATCAGTTAATACAACTTGCATTTGGCCGGTTTTTCATTCGTTAAATTATAACGAAATAGGCTGTTTAATATACGCAATTTTTTCAAAATAAGACACGTTTCATTGATAAATACTTATTTAACACATTATTATTCTGTGACGGACTGCACAGTACTGTGACTGTGCCAAATTTTCGGATAGGTCATCTAATCGTATAAAATTATATGTTACAAGAAATGATCCACCACAACTAGCCGTTAGCAAACTATATTTGCACACTAAAAATAAACAAAATGTAAACAAGAAACGCTTTTTTAATTCTTCACGAACGTAGCGGCAAATACGGGCACGAATAAAAAAACATAAAGCACACGCGGAGTACATTTGCAGGCGCATCTGTCAGTAAAAACGATAAAAGCCGCGCACTTTTTTATTCTGGCAGCTATAGTGCGGGGGTATATTACGCAAGCGGCGATGTAAAAGCCGCCTAGTCGAATGTTAAGTGACGAAGCATCAGCGTTAGTCCATTAACCGAGGGGGGGCGGAGCGCCGAACGGGTGGCCTGATACGCCATTAGTTCATTAGTAGTCTTATGTGCCTGTCATAAGCCGATTACCGTCCGGCAAGTTGTGCCATGATCGGCCAACGTGACAGTAGATAATGCGGGCTGAAAACTCGATCGGCGCAACTTTCCCGCCTTATAGACGAATACGCGTAATGGATAAAGCCAGCGAGCAAAGAGCAAGCGCACTTAAGTTACTGTATCTAAAATTACAAAGTTCGGTATTCGTGTCTGTGCATATTCCGATTCGTTAAAACAAATTTTACCCCGACGTTGTATCCGGAACTCTTTTTTCTCTTTTATATAACTTGTGTTCACCCAATGTTTGAAATTCGACTATAATCATTATTGAAAACTTAATATTCATTTCGTCCAACATTGTTTTCTACTTCATATTGTTTTTGATTTTTGATACCGTACACTTTTATTAAGAAAATAGTATCATAATAAAGATAGGGAAAAACTGTGTAGTACAACTATTCCTACAAAGATTTTTTTTTCACGTAAAAAGTATGTCTGTTATAAATAGTGTGTGACATAAAATACAATGGATGTTAAAATTACACTACTTCTAAGCAGCTATAGTCGATTGTAACAATGATTGAGAACGTTTTTATAATTCTTTGAACGCATACAGTATTTGTTATTGTCTTGGTAATGTACCACAACAGTTGTACCACAATAACACATTTCAAAAACAAAAGGCGCGAAAAACGATGCAAATGGACTATGTCTACCTTGTTACAATCCTTACTTTATGCTTGTTACAATGTTTATAACCTTAAACCCCTCCAATTTTAAGCGACAAAAAGATAATACGGCTAAAAGGCATTTATCATCAAAGGGGCTTACTTTTTAAATCCATCCGCAAACACAACATTGCATTTAGAGCCGTGTCGGTGTCGGAACACATTTTGCAAATTGTCTTTGTTGCAGGGGGCTGCGGGGCGGGGAGGGGCGCGGTCCATTATCCCGTAGTGAGGGCAGCAGCAAAGACGTTAGTCCGGCTCTCTGCATCGGCGACTTTATGACGTTATCTCTAACAGGTTCCGTCGCCGAGATGGGGCCCGTAGTGGCGAAAGCACGGGATCCTCTGTTGTGACTGATAATTGCCTCTAATGGAAAAGTCTAGTCACTCCGAAGTGCATTCCAAGTTTTCGCCGCTATAGGATATAACTTATTAAATCTTGTTGGGACGATTTAAAAGCTTCATAGTGCTTCGTTCCGAGTGACCGGTGGTTCTTTTTTTTTTGACGACCGTCGGTTTGCCGCTCAAATAGTCAATCCGGATAAACGTATTTGCACACTCTCATAGATTAGGTGGGTACTTGACAGAATGAAAAAGCAAGCGAAATCTAATACACTTACGAGCTTCTTACGGGCACATACATATTTAACACGCATATTTACCGATTGGCGCGGATCAGAGTGGGGGTGCCTATCTGATGCGGGCGGGGGAGAGGGGGGAGACGGTCATTCAATGAGATTGCTTCTTGCCGCCACTTTGAAGTAATGGATCTCGCCGAAATAGACTTGATGGAGGAAGCGCGGCCAGCTACTGCGTTGGGACACGCCTCGCTTTTGAATTGCGAAAATTTTAGCCAATATGCAAAACGATCGCCTATTCAAAATTGCCACACCGCAATAACTCAACGTTGAACATTAGTCATAAAATATGAGATAAATTTAAATGTATTCCGGTATTGTAATATCGAACGTTATATTGTGGGTTATATTTTTCATATTATAAATTGATTGGTTAAAGTCGTTTTAGTACATTTTCTAACAACCGCTTTTATTAACTTCCCTGGCGTAAATTCGGGCAATTCCGTTAAATTGTTCTGAAACAAGATTGCAAGAAAAATATATTGCATTGTGTAAGTGCCATGCAATACTTTTGTCTGTGTACGTTGCACAAATAAATGAATCGGCTAATATTTAAGTATAAAAACTCATTATAAGTGATATGGTCTATTATCGATTCAGATATGAGATTGACTTTTTTAAAATAAGCTATAACTGGCTTACACAGTTCTAAAGTGAACATATGAGCATTACAGAACGTAGAACAAAGTACATTCATGTATGACTGAAGCAACAATGCGCCGTATTATATTGCAAAGGAACTGTTCCTTTGTACTCGGATTAAGACACGATTATGTAACTCGTATCAAAGTAGAGTTTCAAACACGGCGCGACGTGTTCGTGTGTTACTTTCGCGGGTGTATCGTTCACAATGGATTCGGTGCGGATGGAAACGTGGAAGGGGCGAACTGGGCCGTTGTAAGAACAAGGAGGGAAATGGAAAATGTGTGTCGCCAAGTTGCGGGCCTAACAGCTCCTGGACAGAGTACGGATTGCGATAATGGATTGATCAGATACCGCTTCACAACATAGCACCGAGTGCTCCAGTAAATGGAAATCTCATTTCACGTATGTACAACTGTCCTAAGTTTCCTTAAAGATTTATTGTCGGCTGACTATCTTTGTAATATGTCAACGAATTATAGGATAACACTGATTTTATATTATAGATTGAAGTGTATTTCATTTATCTTATTAATAAAAATGCATTTCCACATAAATAGTAATATTCGCGACCTATATTAAAACAAACAAGAATAAAAGAAACCAAAATTTTAAACTTAATGTAGAAGTGATGGGTACAATGGCCTTATTATTAAGAATAATTTCTTCCATGCAATCGTTATTATCGTAAGCATTTAGAAAACAAATGCACTGCCAACTTGCTAATGCTATATGGAGTTATATTACAGACGTATAAATAAAATAATTCAGGACATATCATGTAACACAACGTTATTTAGTCCCAAACTAAGGAAGACTAGTACTATAGATAACAAACTTAAAAATACTGTTCTTTTGTAAATTAATATATAATATTATAAATATGTAAACACACAGACACTGAAAAAAGACTACGTTCATCACACAATATTCGGTAGTGGGGATCGAACCCACACCCTTTGACTACGCTAATCGGGTCGTAGATATGTTTATGTCGGTCGTAATGCGTATAATATACTACTTTTTAAGTCAAAACCACGTGAATATTTGGTTGTATTTAAACAATGCAAACTCTTAAGTTCTACGCCGCGACTATTGATTTGTGTATAGCAAACAAGCAGTAAAAAGAATTAAAGAACTCACTGAGGCTACAGTTGCTTGTTCATTATCCAAATGGACTACAGCTATTTGATCCACTTATGTGATTGCCTGCAAGCATTATCTCTTCCACTGAATGGAAGCCATAAGTCTACCTCGTAACTCTCTCGCTTCTTACAATATTGGTTCGTGCATTAAATTTCGAATGCATACGAATATTAAATTTATTGTAACTGTTTCTGTTCGCAATATTCTTCTGTAATTGTACAAGTTGATATCAACTTATTGCGATAATTTCAGAATGCAAGTATATTCCACTTACTGGTTGTGATAAAATAGAGCTTATGATTAAATATATTAAAGCAATAACATCAGTATAATTCCGCAGCTTCAGCACTAGCTGCCTTAGCTACTTGGGAAGCAAAGTCATCTACCCCAAGTAAGGTGCAGTGGAACATAAAGCAAGCCTTCCTACTCGACCGCTTTTGCACGGGCAAAGAGCCCACTCCAGAGCCCACTGCTTAGAGGATATGGGAGCCAGAAACGCCAGTGCTTACAAGCAGTCAGATACCTAGCGGCAGCGAATGTAGTCTGTGGCTCCACCGCTCATCACATTTGACCGCGGAGAGTAGAGAGCGATAGCGGACCACCACAGCTTCATCGATGGTGAGAGTCGCCAATACTAACACTCCTCTTACCTCAAGAATCCACCTCTACCCACCCCAATGCGCGCATCCAAAGTAGGCTCGACGAGACAAGGCGGGAGCCCAGTTGGAAAGGGATTGCCTCAAGTTTACAAACGTATTTTTCTATTGTAATCACATTGTAATCCTGACCGACACACCAACTTACTGACTGGTTCTACATCTAGCATAAAGGCTATCAGCACTACGAGTACACGCAAAGACGTGCACAAAAGATAACCATTTCGTTAATGGAAGCATCTTGTTAACATTGAAACTAAAATCAGTTTTGATTCCTTATTATTATTTACATGGTTACAAATAGACAACGTTTACGAGTGTGCTCCTGTTACCTCACCCGCTAGACAAAATGCAAAAGTTTAAATGGTCCACTTTACGTTGGTCTGTAAACATGTTGTACTTCACAAGCTTGTCTATTTATTTAAGGCCGCTGCGTAACCCTACCACACGGGAAAATAACACTTCTAAGAAATATTTGTTTTGATTTTATGTTAAAAGTGGACAAACGAGCAGGTACTCGTATCACTTGTAAAGTAAAGTATTAGCCTATACATGTCCCACTGCTGGGCAAAGGCTTCCTCTGTACCAAGGGCATAGTCCACCACGCGACCCCACTGCGGATTGGAGGACTTCACATATATTCAAAATATTTTTTTTTATTATTATTTCGAAAATATGCAGGTCTCCTCACGATGTTTTCCTTCACGTTTTGAGCACGTGATAATTCAGCACTTAAAATTAATAATTTCATTGGTGCTGGCACCGTGGATGGAACTCAGGTTGCGCGCCGGACACTGAGCTATCACGGCTCTATTTATCACCTGATGTTTAGTTATTACTGCTGACCATGGACATCTACAACACCTAACGGGCTGAAGATGCGTTGCCAACATTAAACAGTGTGACCCGGTTACCTCACCCACCAGACCAAACGCGAAATAATAATAATAAAATTTCCACTTCACGCCGGTCTACTGTGAAGCAGGCTTACTGTTTTTGTAACAACTGGCTGCCCAGTGTTTCCCATTTTTGTTTACATATTCGCAAAAGACTTTGAGGAGAAGATCCCTCGCAAAGCTCCTGTTCATCTCAGGTATTAAAAACGTAGTTAGTTATTAATGAACGTTAATACATTTTAGAATATCTAACCTCTTTGAATTTAAGAAATAGTTTATTATGAATTTTTCAGATATTAATATTATGTTTTAGTAATTCAAGATTCAAATAACGTTTGGAGCCGTACTGATTAGAAAAAAAGTACAATATTCTTATTAACACAAAATCTCACTATACATTTTCCGGCGTCCAATATCCGATATCAATGAAATTAATGTGGGTCAATATCGGAGCTAAAACAGACCCAAAGCAAAAGCAATTTTTAAAATCGATTCAAAATTGATGGGGTTTTATGATAACATATTTAAAAAATACAACCAAATTGAATCTCCTCCTTTTTTGAAGTCGGTTTAAAACAACGTATGCGAATGAATATGACACCGTTCATATTTATTCGCATACGTTGTTTTAACTCACACAACGCTTGTTTCACGTAAATATAAGATAGGAATAATCGTACTTCAATTCAGTGTTTGTTATACCGACTATTCATATTGTACATAGAACTGCTCCATCGCTGTTGGTTCATTAGCCAAAAAGGGTCAAACATGTAACGTAGACTGAGCATGATGTTGAGTTACCAGTAACCCAAAAACACGGCGGTCAGATATTTACTAACCCATAGTATTTCCATTCATTATCTTGAATGATACGAAGAAGCAACGCAGATATCAGCAGATACGAAATAATGTCCTAATCCAATCACTTAAGTTTGTGACCGTGCCGGAGTAAGTTATACAGGGATATTTGTAAATGTACCCATTTATTTGTATGCCTTGATATACTTTTCTATAAAAGCTTTGGCGTGGGTAATAAAAGTTGGTTTATGGTAAACCGCCAATAGCAAATCAATTTTATTGAAGTATCAAAATTAATAAACTACGTAAAGGAAAATAAGAGAATGGGTGGAAAAGTGGGCGACCCAGTGAAGAAAATGAAATAAAATATTTAAAAAAATGTTTTATTTTTTAACAAAATCTTCATCCAGGTCAATTACACTTCTTTCATCTGCTTTCCAAGGCTGACCTTATAAAATGATTCAAATCATTCTGAGATATAATGACGTGCCATGAACTTTATCCATAGTGACAAATGTATTAATTGAATGTTGCAGATCAGCCACAAATATCTTCTAACATTCATGAGAGATTGT